GGGTTTAGAGTTTATAGTATAGGGTTTATATTATAGCGTTTATAGTATAGGGTTTATAAGGTTTATAGGATTTATAGTATAGGGTCGATAGTATAGGGTTTATAGTTTATAGTGTAGGGTTTGTAGGGTTTATAGTATAGGGTTTATATTATAGCGTTTATAGTATAGGGTTTTTGGTATAGGGTCTATAGTATCGGGTTTATTGTTTTAGGAGGCTATGGTTTTTTTTATATTATAGGGTTTATAGGGTTTGTAGGGTTTGTAGGGTCTATAGTATAGGGTACTTATGGTATAGGGTTAGTAGGATTTGTACGTTTGGGAGCTGGCTTCTAGGCATATACGCGTGTGATATGATAGACATTCTCCCAATGGGAGACGTTGAAGTACGAGTTAACGTATTCATATATGCTACGACACATCAGCACAATCAAAGTCTAGGGTTGTAAGGTAAGAGTTATGTTGTTGTAGGGTTTTAGGGTTTTTGGGTTAGAGTTATGTTGTGGTGGTGTTGGCGTATGCTGTGATCTTAAGCAATGCCCGACATGTCAAGTATCGGAATAAATAAACAAACACTACAGCATGTGTTACAATGAAAACGTAACTTCACGTTAAGAAACCGTACATCCTGTGAAGCTGCTTGGTACGTCTTTCGCGTATCTCTACGCATCAACTCGATGTGAACATACATACGTACCTACATGTTTACGTATGTATGCGTGAAAGCAAGCAACCAAATTTCCACGTCAAATGGGACATCATGTATACGTAACCATCCATCGGTATACACACGTTTACGTAAGTGTACGTAAATGCCACTTACTCGCCATTGAGCAGCTCGATACGTCTTTCGTGTGAGGAGATGCGCTCCTCCAACTCATCAGTCACTGCCGATGTCACGGATTCCGCGGCACTGGGTTGGGTTGGAGTAGCTTTGATGCTCCTGGCGGGTTCTATTTATAGATTTAAAAAACGAGATTAATGTCAGCTGGTGAGGGGATGGAAAGTGGAATGGGTTGGCGGGGTCTATTTATAGAATTTTCGGAAAGTATATGAGCACATGGAGGACTGGGGGGTTGGAAGATGGGATTTATTGGTGTACTTTGTGTCTACGAGATAGCACGCGTACTTCGTACTCTACGCAACCATATGTGTATACTTGATATTTGTATTGTGTGTCTTCAGATTATACATACACGCCATAACATATATCTATACCCGGAACGTGCATATGCAACCCTATACACACATGCATATATTCAGCTCATGCGTTTACCCCCCCAAAACATATATGTATATAAATAAATTTCATCCATACTTCCATACATATATAAACATATTCATTCCATACATACATACCCCTATACACA